GCGAAGGAGGCGAGGTGAGAGAGAGTAGCGAAAAGAATGACGGCCCAGAGGGCTCCGATTCGCATTTTAGGGCTTTTAGCGGCGGCCTTTACGGCGGAGGTTCCGCCGGTAATTTTACCGGCGGACAATGCGCCGGCAATTTTTCGTTGAGTTTAAATAAGCCGGCGCATAATCCGCCGGAACGGTTTCGTTGAGTTTAGAAGAACGTTTTCGCCGTAATCTGCGCCGGAAATAATCCAGAGCCCTTTTCACCGGCGGTATTTCCGGCGCAATTGACGCCGGTAAATTACCGGCGTCCGATCCGCCGGAAATGACGCCGTAAACGTTACGTCGCATCATTCCGCCGGAACCTGCGCCGACAATGCCGGCGCAAAAAAATCCGCCGGAAATTCCGACGGTAATCACGTGTTTTCCCGTAGTGTTATTCAATTGCTTTAGGCTTCGTTTGATTTTTTGGTACTTTTGTAAAAGACAGTTTTAAGAAATATTGGTTCATAGTATTTAGTTTTCTAACGGAGAAACATATATAAAAAGCTTTCTCAAAACAACTGAAAAATTAAGAAAAAAAAAAGAGAGTTATTAAGAATGTGATTTGAAGAACCAAACCGTAAAGAAAAAAATGAATTTGTTGTTTTAAACGGAATAAGCACAAAAAACTTCCAATCAAACGAAGCCTTAATTGGTAGCTTTTTAGTAAGTCGACGGATAATTTTAGGATTTGTTAAGAAGACTTAGGGGGAAGGCGTGAAGTTTGAGTGAAGAAGAAATATAGTTATTGATCACAACTTATTTATTATTTTATTTAATTCCAAATCTATTCAATTGCTTCTTTACTTAGATTTATTAAATTATTTGTTAGTAACTTAATATGAAAAGCCAAATACTCTTTCAAAATTTTAGCTTTTTTGTTAGCTTGACAAAGTTCTCATTCAATTAATTTAGGCATGCAAGAACAATTATAAAAAATTTAAAACAATCCAAATACACACAAAAGCTCATCTCGAGTTCAAGCAGATTCTCAATGAGCTCAAATTCGCTCAAAGATAATCCTTTAACCGATTATGGAGTGTCAATGACTGCTAATTTCATTTTATAATCTAGGGATAAAATCCTTAAATAATAGATAACTACATAGTTTTGATCATCAAATATAATGTTAGTTGGAAAATATGTTCATCTTTGACTGTTATGCATAGTTACAATTTTAGGGGAAATTATTGCATCTGGTCACCGGATGCGGATTCGGAGATAGGTCCGGATATTAATAACATACTATTTTAAATTAAGCGCTTCAAAAGCACAGGTAAAGCGCAGTTAAAAATGCAAGTAAAGCGCACCTAAAGCGCAGTCAAAAGCACTGGTGATGTGACATGTTTTTATTGGATGTCCGAACCTATTTAAATATTTTACATTATTTTAGCCCTACTTTCATTTTTGACAAATGATAGAATTCATATGTTTTTTTATATTATAAATATTTTTTATGATTATTTATCAACAATTATTTGACAATGAATTTTAGCCACTATAATTATATATTTATATTTAATGAAAATTTTTAATATATTTAAAATAATTAATATGAAACAATAAGATAAAATTATATAACCCTAAAACTAATGATCTATATCAAAGCTTTAGTAAACGGGTCCAATTGGCCGACTAGTAATAGTCGTAACAAAGGTTAGGTACTACTAACAGAACATATTAACTAACATAAGAGTTGACACATATTAAAGTAATTATTTTAAACCACAAATAGCATCAATAAAGTTACATAAAGCATGCGATCCAAAGAGGATTTACGATGACCTGAGAATTGGGCCCATAAGCCGTTTGTCATATTGCCGCAACGGCATCCACCTCTTCCACCTCTACGTAATGCATGAACTCAATGTCTTGGAGCAACGCCGCCATGGTTTCTGGCGCAAGGCAAACTTCCAGGTCAACGCTCCCTCCCCCTTCCCTCCCAGGAAACGCCGATATCTTCCCGTCGAACTTATTCGCCTTCCCGCTCCTCACCGCCACTGGCTCACCCCACCCGAAATCATTCCTTTCGTACATTGGAAATCTCGGCGAGCTTCCCATCGTCAGCCCTGCTCCGCCGGGATTCCCCAAAGGAAAACATCTCGGCGCCGTCTCCCACTCCGCCACTACCTTTCTTATCTTCTCATCCCCGTGCGCAGCCACATTCCGGCGAAGCATCCCAGCAATCCAACTAAGCTCTCCAGCCGCCACTTCTCCGACCGCCGCCGTTGTCGGGATGCTCTGTATCGCGTTCCCGAAGTAACAATCGTCCACCGCCGGTAGTACTCTCCGACGACAGTTCACCGCCATGCGGAACGTCGTCGGCGTTGACGGCTGGAGGTGTTTCCTCGCGCGAGTCACCGACCGCCACAGCTGCGCGCACAGAGATTGAAATGAGGAAATCTCTTCTACTTCTTTGAAATGTTTTCTGTCGTGGATAGATTTGCCGTACGCCTCAGCGTTTTGGGAAGAGTGGTAGTTATTTGCTTTCGCTTTCAATTCCTGAATTGATTCACGGCGGAAATGGAATATTCTCTCTCTTATTGGAGAGTCAACCGGGAAGGTGACGGCGGGACCCTTGCCGCCGGGAAAACGTAGAATGGCGGAGGAGTCGGGGAAGAAGTTTCGGATAAAGTTCGGAGGACGGGAGATGGTGGTTAGAGTAGGTGAACGGCAGAGTTCGGCCCAAGCGTTGAAGAAATTCCAGAAGGAAGTGCCGTCGACGACGGCGTGGTTGATAGTGCAGGCGAGGAAGACGGCTCCGTCGCCGAGTTCGGTGAGTTGGAAGGAGGAGAGAGGAAGGAAATGGCCGTCGTGGCTGACGGTACAGTCGAGAGGGAAGAAGGATTTGACTTGGATGGGGACGTCGGAAGAAGGTGGGAGGAGGAGGGGAAGGTTCAGGGAAGGTGCGCTCGCAAGGGAGAACTCGGAGCCGGCGTCGGTAGAGGACATGAAGACGCGGCCTTCGGCGTCAGTGAAGAGGCGGCCGGCGAGTGGTGGGAAGCAGGAGAGGGCGCGGGAAAGGGAGGTGGCGAGGAGAGAGAAGAGGGGGAGGATGGGGATGGGAGGTGGCGGGAAAAAGAGGCCTTTTTGAATGTAGTGGCAAGAGAGCATGGGGAGGTCGGAGACTGAGAGCTTTAGGTCTGAAAAAGTTGATTTCTTGTTAGGGACGACGGTGAGTTTAGAGAGCATGGTGACAACGGAGGAGGAGGAGGAGGAGGAGGAGGCGGACTTGGCGGAAGAGACGAACGAAGAAGGCATGCTTGAGTTACTGTATAATTAGCAAGTTGATCAAGGCTACACACGTACTAGTCTCTTTTATTTTGCTTGTTTTTGGAGGAAGTTCCATGAAGCTTATATAGAGGTGGAGAAGAAGAAGGTATGGATTCATGCATTATGGGAGTTACTGAATAGGGTTTTTTGTGTGTTGATTTTTTTAAAGAAAGAGCAGGATGGTTAATTTAAATTAGGAATAAGTATAGAGTATTAAAATTTTTAAAAAGAAGTAAACTATTCAATTAGAATGGTGCATTCTAAAGAATGCGCTAAAAGAATGCACTAGATCATTTGGTTCATTCAACCCAGTCAGCTGGACTAAATTCTAAAATTACTGTAACAATGCGCCAAATAGTTTGGCGCATGCAATCGCATGCGCGAAACAAATGGTGCATTCCATTGAACGCGTCAAATTGTTAATTTGGCTTATTCTAAATACACCAAACAGTTTGGTGAATTCAATAAAATACATCATTTTGGATTTTGCTAGTTCATTTCTTTTTAAATTTTTTTAATACTCCAATGGAGAATCTTCATAGTTGCTAAAGGGAAATGGTAGTAACATGTGGATAGATATGGAGTAGGGTCATGTGCAGTAATATCCTCTTCAATTTTATTATGATTTGATGGTTGATGCCTTAATGAGAATGGATGCTTTGCACTAATGGCCTTTTTATCCATAAGAGATAATTTAAATATTATTCTTTTTATTGTAATATAGTTTGTATCATGATATCAAATTTTTTTTTCTTTCTTTGTTAAATATATTGTTCATTGCTGTATATGGATTCAATCAATTTGGTAAATGAGTAGATATGCTCCACTTGACACACCTGATCATATCTTTATGAAAAAGAAAAAAAAGGGTTGAGAGTTACATAAAATAGGAGTATTAATTATTCTGATAAAAATAAGATAATTTTGTAGATAGTATTCTAATATTATAATTAATAAAGATAATATCTATATGATTATATTGCAATATGCCCATCCTTAGAAGAGTTAAATTTTTATTCTTAGTGATTTGTTGAAGTACTTTTAATGATTTGGTTGTGCATGCATAAATATGTTGAAACCGGTTTAGACTCTTATAAAATGGCTTGATTAAATAGTTACTTCATAAATAAAGTGATAAATAATCATATAAGATGATTTGCTATATTAATATATAGTACGTAGTATTCCAATGAAAGTAATAAAGAATAAATTTAAACTGTTGCGTCCCGAAATATTCACGGTGGTAGAGAAATATAAAGTAATGTCTTAGCTTTGTACGAAGATCCAACACACAACAGTTTAGTGCTGTCTGTAAGAACGTGGTTCCCGACTGGGGGTAATTTTTGCTCTAACCTTAAAATGTCGTTCTTGTAAACGTCCTGACATCAGTTATTGCTATATCAATTTCTTGAGAATTAAATGTGGATTGGGGGGGCAATCTTGATTACAGCCGTGGTCAATAAGATTCCTCCAACTCTTCCAACATCCAAGACAATGCTTGTTACATCAAGCCAAGGCCTTCTCTCCAATGAAATGTCCCATTTGTAATCAACTACAAATACCAATTAATTCATTCAAACTAAACTAGGTCTTGTGGTTTTTCCCCTTTTTAGAATTTTACACGTAAAATTTTTTGTATCTCTTATGAATGCTACACCCTCTCTCTTTTCTGATTGCGTGTTGGATCTTTGTACAATGCTAAGACGTTAAACTTTATATTTCTCTACCGCCGTGAATATTCTAGGACGCCATAAATTATTCTTATTTTTATAAGAAAAGATAAAACAATACATCAAATGATACGTAGAAAAATAATTGAATGAAACAATTAGAAAATATATGAAATAGCTAGACGCAATAACTAAAATCACAAGTTCAAACAATTTGCTCCGTGGAGCTCACGAATCACGAGTTTATATCCAGATTGTGATCTTCTTCTAAAAATCAATCCAAACAACTCTGATAAGACTACAAGAGAGGATAAAGAAGAAGACGATGCTAAAGCAGAAGAACAGACAAGAGTTAGTACGTAAAGAAATGGGAAGAGATAAGGGATGCATGGGTAGAGACATGAACGGAACTTCTCAGAAAAATTCTGGCCTGCAGAAGCTATGAGCCTACGATAGCCAAGTTCATGCATTTGGATCAATTCCCAGCAGCACAGGTCAGCGGCAACCTAGGAATCTTCCCTAGCCACTGCAGAGCTCTAGTTTAGGCCACTAATTTTGCTCTTTTGATAGCTAAACCACCAACATTTTTATAATGGAATAAAGAAAAGTAGCGCATTGCGAGCCCAGCTGTGCTACTTTTCCTTGCATGAAATAACTCCATAAACATATTGGATGAGTTTGGTTCTCTACTGTACATTGAATCTCGAAAATCCTCACTTAAATATTTCTTGTGTTAATAGCCTAAATATTCATTTAGAGCTGTTGAATAGAAGGCAAAATTTTTAGTATAATTGCCGCATATTTTAAGGCCTATTTTTTCGCCAAGAAATTTCTGGTAGTCATATCTTGTCGTTCGGGCTTTTTGTTTACTCGTTCTAAGAAGCTTACGTGCATATTAATATGCTAAGCTCACTAGAGAATCCTGCACAATTTTGGTTTTAAGATGCCATTCAGCCCTCAATTAAACGAGGCTTTGAAAAATGTATGGAATAACCAAGCCTCGCCCTCACCGATGAGAGAGAGAGAGAGAGAGAGAGAGAGAGAGAGAGAGAGAGAGAGAGAGAGAAGCTTCATCTCTCACCATCCCAACTAAACTTGGTATATTAGCCAGTTAGGCTACAATTGATTGAATGATTTTGAAGAAGATGAAGAAGTAACGAGAGGGATAGAGAGAAAACAATTTGTATTAACTTGCTGTGCCGAGTACAGTGATTACCAATATATATAACTAATGCAATGGGTTTATTACAGGTTAACCCGTAAATAAGTAATACAGAATTTTAAGTAATTGTTGATTATAAGTATGCTATGCTAACATTCCCCCTCAAACGTACAATTGGGAACAAGTGTAAGTTTGGATCGTAGTAGTTTGAATCTAGGAGTTGTTAGTGGTTTGGTGAGTATGTCAGCGATTTGGTCGATCGTACTGATAGGCAGCAAGCGAATATCATTTTTCTGAATGTGGTGTCGAACGAAGCGTTGATCTATTTCAATGTGCTTAGTGCGAGCATGAAAGACTGGGTTGTTTGCTAAGGCAATTGTAGACATGTTGTCACAAAAGATGTCCACCGGTGAGTCATGCTTGTGCCAAAATCTGCTAGGAGACGCCGAATCCAAATGGTGTCTGCCGTTGCCGATGCTAATGCCCGGTACTCAGATTCGGTAGAAGATCTTGAAACAGTAGTTTGCTTTTTCACGGTCCAGGATACAATAGTGTCACCAAGAAAAGTACAGAATCCATAAGTAGATTTACGGGAGATAGGATTGGAAGCCCAGTCTGCGTCTGAAAATGTGCGAAGACGAAGGTCCGATGGAACAATGGGGAGACCAAATTCGAACGTCCCTTTGATATACCGCAGCAGTTTCTTGAGTTCAGAAGAATGAGAGGCGGAGGGATTGTGCATGTGTTGAGAGAGTGAGTTGACCGCATATGCTATGTCAGGTCGAGTTAAGGTCAGGTATTGCAATGATCCGATGAGCTTGCGGTATAGAGGTGCATCGAAGCAGGCCGCGTCTTGTGAGTCTGCCATGGGAATTTTTGTAAAGGATGGATTAGATACCGAGTTGCAACGTTGCAACCCAGCCATCTGAACTATGGAATTGGCGTAGACCGATTGTGATAGAATATACTTATCTGGGTGAGTGGTGATCTTGATGCCGAGAAACTGGTGAGCAATGCCCAGGTTTTTCATAGTGAATCGAGAGTTAAGCTGATTCATAAGCTTCGTCACGGCTTGAGAATTGTTGCCAGTAAGTAAGATATCGTCGACGTACACTAGAAGGTACATCTCGATGTTGTTTTGCCGAAACACGAGTAGAGAAGGATCTGCCTGGCTGTGTGTGAATCCAAGTTGAGTAAGAAATGTCGTGAATGTGGTGTACCACTGACGTGGAGCTTGACGAAGGCCATAAATTGCTTTGTTTAGACGACAAACATAGTTAGGATAAACCGAATCTTCGAATCCCTTGGGCTGCCGCATGAAGACGGTTTCGGTGATATCACCGTGAAGGAATGCGTTTGCAACATCTAACTGATGTACTGACCATTTGTGGAAAAGCGCGATGGTAAAAAGAATCCTGATCGTTGGTAGCTTGGCGACTGGACTAAAGGTGTTGAAATAGTCTACACCATGTTCTTGCTGATTTCCAAGAGCCACTAGTCTGGCTTTGAATCGGGCAATTGAACCATCTGATGTGTGCTTAGTTCGGTAGGTCCATTTTGAGCCAAGGATGGGCTTGTTGGTAGGAGGAGGAACCAGCATCCATGTTCCTTGTCGTTGGAGCGCGAAAAATTCTTCAGCCATTGCCTTTCTCCATTCGAAGTTTTTGCTTGCTTCGGTGTATGAAGTGGGGTCAGTTTGTGGTTGTTCATGATGGAGTAGATTAAGTTTATTAACAGGTTTTAGAGATCCTGTTTTGGCCCTTGTGGTCATAGGATGAATTTGATTAAATCTGGTGTGTGACTGAGGAACAACATCCTGTTGTGAGATGACCGGTTCGGAATGAATAGACGGCATGATGGATGAGGGAACAAGTTCAGGTAATAGCTGTGGTGGCGGAGACGATGTTTCTTGCTGATTAACCGTGGAGCATGGAACCAGAAGCGAGGGAGGTAAGTCCTGAGGTGGAATTTGGTGATCCAACGTTGCCCTGTTTTGAAAAGGAAAGGAGAATTCGTTAAATTTAACGTGTCGAGATACGACTACTTGATTTGTTACCTGATTGAGGCATTTATAGCCTTTCATTGTATCAGAATACCCAATAAAAGTGCACGGTGAAGATGTAGGCGTTAATTTGTTGCGTTGAGTAGACGGGTTGAGCGGATAGCACTCGCATCCAAACGTTCGAAGGTGATTGTATGAGG